ATGTGTAGAAGCTATTAATCCATGTTTGGGTAAGTATGGAACCATCTAGTTCATCTTATACACTACAAGTGAGTTTCCACAATGTGGAGTCACAGAGGTACATTTCGGACTCCTTACCTCTTCCGGTTCCCAAATTTGGTCCATTTGATGTTCCTCCCTTGGATTGAGACCGTTTCAGTCATGTTTGTCCTCATAGTCATGTGTAGAAGCTATTAATCCATGTTTGGGTAAGTATGGAACCATCTAGTTCATCTTATACACTACAAGTGAGTTTCCTCAATCTGGAGTCACAGAGGTACATTTCGGACTCCTTACCTCTTCCGGTTCCCAAATTTGGTCCATTTGATGTTCCTCCCTTGGATTGAGACCGTTTCAGTCATGTTTGTCCTCATAGTCATGTGTAGAAGCTATTAATCCATGTTTGGGTAAGTATGGAACCATCTAGTTCATCTTATACACTACAAGTGAGTTTCCTCAATCTGGAGTCACAGAGGTACATTTCGGACTCCTTACCTCTTCCGGTTCCCAAATTTGGTCCATTTGATGTTCCTCCCTTGGATTGAGACCGTTTCAGTCATGTTTGTCCTCATAGTCATGTGTAGAAGCTATTAATCCATGTTTGGGTAAGTATGGAACCATCTAGTTCATCTTATACACTACAAGTGAGTTTCCTCAATCTGGAGTCACAGAGGTACATTTCGGACTCCTTACCTCTTCCGGTTCCCTTATATTGTTCCTCCCTTGGATTGAGACCGTTTCACTCATGTTTGTCCTCATAGTCATGTGTAGAACCTATTAATCCATGTTTGGATAAGTATGGGTCCATCTAGTTCATCTTATACACTACAAGTGAGTTTCCACAATGTGGAGTACATTTCGGACTCCTTACCTCTTCCGGTTCCCAAATTAGGTCCATTTGATGTTCCTAGCTATTGAATTAACTGAACAGGCAAATACAAAAGGAATTCAAGTACAAATTGCAGGACGTATCGACGGAAAAGAAATTGCACGTGTTGAATGGATCCGAGAAGGCAGAGTTCCTTTACAAACAATAGAAGCTAAAATTGATTATTGTTCCTATACAGTTCGAACTATTTACGGGGTCTTAGGAATAAAAATTTGGATATTCGTAGACGAAGAATAATTTTTTTTTGTCTTTACATTTTATCCAACGATAAAAAACGAAAACTATGTAGTATAACACTATACAGTAATAAAAGAAATTGCAGTCTTATTTTTGATGTTTAAGAAAAAAATCAGCAATTCTATAAGGTTGAATAAAAATTTCCATCAAAACTCCTTTGATATAATTGCTATGCTTAGTGTGTGACTCGTTGGTTTAGGATTCGATTAGATTAAGATAAAAAAAAAAGAACTTACCTATAAGAGCAACTAATAACTATAGCATTAATAAATAACCTAAGCAACTCATTGCTTCACATTATCTGGATCCAAAAAAAAAAGTCAAGATATGATAGGCTGATCATATTATTGTAGCAACTGAAAAAAAAGAATAAAGAAATATGATTATTATGATTATTAAGTTATGAAAGGTAATCAAAAAGTATGTGGATAAATGGAAGGATGAAAGAAAGAGAGAAAAGTTGAATATTAATGATATATGATTCCAATTTGGAAAGTCTATGAGGTCGTTGTAAAAAAAAGCAATGTAATAAAGCATCAATACGGATTCATTCATAATAATTAGATAAATCTGTTCCGAAAACAAAAAATTAAGAGCCTTGAGCCAATAAAAACTGAGAAAATTGACTCAAAAATAAATTAAAAAATGAAATTAAAAATTTCATCTAAGAGCTCCATTGTAGAATTCGGACCTAATGATTAATCAAGAAGCGATGGGAACGACGGAACCCATGAATATAGAGGATTCTAGCGAAAAACAAATCTTAGTAATTCATTGGATAGGATGGCGGAATAAACCAGAAACTTTATTATCTATTCTGATTTTGATTCTGAGACCTCGTGGGATAAACATCAAACTTAAATAGATATTGAAAGAGTAAATATTCGCCGGCGAAAAATTTGTGTGTTTTTTTTTTTAAGTAATAAAATACGAAAAAAAAAAAAAAAAAATGAAAAAGAGAAAAGAAAATAAGGATTTGTTAGAATATTCTAACTATAAAACAAAAACTACATTCGAGATTCTGATATTACGTTATTTTGAAATAAATAGAAATAGAATTCATCTTGGATTCCAGTTCGGAAAAAAACATACACAAACTTAGAAGAGATTATATGAAATTTCAAAAAATACCATGATTAATAGGATTAATCAGTAAACTACATCTATATCTTGTTCTTAATACAAACGTTTTTAGTCCTTTTATTCGCGAGGAGCTGTATGAGAAGAAACTCTCACGTTCAGTTCTGTAGTAGAGATGGAATTTCTAATTTATAGAAAAAACCCATCAACTATAACCCAAAAAGAACCAGATTTCGTAAACAACACCGAGGAAGACTAAAAGGAATATCTTCTCGTGGGAATCGTATTTGTTTTGGCAGATATGCTCTTCAAACCCTTGAACCGGCTTGGATCACATCTAGACAAATAGAAGCGGGGCGGCGAGCAATGACACGAAATGTACGACGTGGTGGAAAAATTTGGGTCCGTATATTTCCAGACAAACCAGTTACAGTAAGACCGGCGGAAACGCGTATGGGTTCTGGGAAAGGATCCCCAGAGTATTGGGTAGCTGTGGTTAAACCAGGTAAAATCCTTTATGAAATGGGTGGTGTACCCGAAAATATAGCCAGAAAAGCGATTTCAATAGCGGCATCAAAAATGCCTATAAAAACCCAATTCATTATTTCTGAATAGGAATATAGAATGAAAAAGCTAAATAACATTTCAGGATAAAAAGGTTATAAGTTTTCTTTTTTTTTTTTTTTTTGACAAACAATATTTTTTTACTTCGTCCTTTGCATTAAAAGAAGAGATACAAAAAAATGATATGATTCAACCACAAACCTATTTGAATGTAGCAGACAACAGCGGGGCTCGAGAATTGATGTGTATTCGAATAATAGGAGCTAGTAATCGCCGATATGCTCATATTGGTGACGTTATTGTTGCTGTAATCAAGGAAGCAATACCAAATACTCCTCTAGAAAGATCAGAAGTGATTAGAGCTGTAATTGTACGTACTTGTAAAGAACTCAAACGTAACAATGGGACGATAATACGATATGATGACAATGCCGCAGTTGTCATTGATCAAGAAGGAAATCCAAAAGGAACTCGAGTTTTTGGGGCAATCCCCCGGGAATTGAGACAATTAAACTTTACTAAAATAGTTTCATTAGCTCCTGAGGTATTATAAGACCTAAATATCAATAATTAGTATTAGTATAGGAGAGGATTAAAAAATGGTAGGTATTAACAGAAAATTAATTAATAGATTGTGTATCACGGATATACCCTTAATAATAAAATATTAATAATTTAATTCAGATATATATAATTCGTCTATATCTATATATAAATAAAAGAAAAAGAACATGTTGATTATATCAAAATTATAGAACAAAAAAATAAGGAATTTGAACTTATCATGGGAAAAGACACTATTGCTGATATAATAACCTCTATACGAAATGCTGACATGAATAGAAAAGGAACGGTTCGGATAAGATCAACTAACATCACCGAAAGCATTGTTCAAATACTTTTACGAGAGGGTTTTATCGAAAACGTAAGGAAACATCGCGAAAACAACCAATATTTTTTGATTTTAACCCTAAGACATAAACGAAATAAGAAAGAATCCTATAAAAGATTTTTAAATTTAAAGCGAATAAGTCGACCGGGTCTACGAATCTATTCTAACTCTCAACGAATTCCACGGATTTTAGGTGGAATAGGAATTGTAATCCTTTCGACTTCTCAAGGTATAATGACAGACCGAGAAGCTCGACAAAAAAGAATCGGCGGAGAAATTTTGTGTTATATATGGTAATCCTTCGAATACAAAAATCGGATATGCGGAACTTACCATTTGTGAAAAAAAAAAGTTTAGAATGTTCTACCTCGAATAAAATTAAAGAAAAAATGAATTAATGAAAGTTTTCTTTCTGAATCACTTCCGAACGGCATGCTCGGTTTTGTTTAGATACTAAAGATTTTTTTGATTTTAGGTCATGCTTCTAAAAGGATTCGACATATTTTTGTATAGGTATACCTATAGGAAAAGGATAGTAAAAATTTTAGTAAGTTCTTAGGTACTTAGGTATAAGTTAATAAAGGGACAGCCATTTTCTAGACTCCATAACAAGGATTCAAACGAGCAAGTGGTTTTTTCAATTTCAACATTCCTTTCACGACGATACAATTCAAGATTCAAAAATATCAAGAAACCTTTTTTTCGTCCAACAATAAGTATATTCAAAAAATTAAGGAATAACAACTATGAAAATAAGGGCTTCCGTGCGTAAAATTTGTGAAAAGTGTCGACTAATCCGCAGGAGGGGACGAATTATAGTAATTTGTTCCAATCCGAGGCATAAACAAAGACAAGGATAATCTTACTAAAAGGAACTAAAGGAAAGGAAAAGACACTGCCAAGGAGCTGGCAACAAAAAGGCCTGTTTTGACATGAAATGGATATATCCATATATTTCTTGTGAAATGAAAAAATATGGCAAAACCTATATTAAGAATTGGTTCACGTAAAAATACACGTAGTGGTTCACGTAAAAATGTACGTAGAATACCAAAAGGAGTTATTCATGTTCAAGCAAGTTTCAACAATACCATTGTGACCGTTACAGATGTACGGGGTCGTGTGATTTCTTGGTCCTCCGCGGGTACTTGTGGATTCAGGGGTACAAGAAGAGGAACACCTTTTGCTGCGCAAACCGCAGCAGGAAATGCTATTCGAGCAGTAGTGGATCAAGGTATGCAACGAGCTGAAGTAAGGATAAAAGGCCCTGGGCTGGGAAGAGATGCAGCATTACGAGCTATTCGTAGAAGCGGTATACTTTTAAGTTTTGTACGAGATGTAACTCCTATGCCACATAATGGTTGTAGACCCCCTAAAAAAACACTCGTAGACGCACATCCACCCCGCCGGGGAAGTATAGGGTCTTTCATGATGATCCGGAATGCAAAATTCCACAGAATTAGGAAACCCGGCCTCCACCACGAGGTCTTGAAGAATCTCGTCTGTCATCCACGACCTCCCATCATCGATCAGGCCCGACGACGGTGTACGACTCGGCATCTTAATTACATCCGGAATACTCTCAAGCCTCGCTTGGCCTGACGTCTCTCCCTCATTGTCCTCATGATCCACATCTGGATGGCCCGGCGGCGTCCCATCATCACAATCGGAATTGGTTTCGTCACCGGAGTCGGACTCTTCTCCATCCCTCTGTCTCGCTCTTTCAGCCTCCTCCCGACGTTCGGCTTCCGCGGCGATTCTCATCGCCTCTTCCATCTCAGCCCTTTCAACCACCCTCTCGGCCTCAGCAGCGGCCGCCGCTTCATCCACCGGCGTCCTCCTGCGACGTTCCGCCGCATCCGCTTGGATGGCTCCACCGAGAAGCGTCTCCGGATGAGCGGAAGATCGCATCCGACGCGCAATAGAAGCAATCGTCTCGTCACCATCGTCAATGGCAATACCTTTGCCCTTCCTATCCGTTGGGTTCATCTCGATTGTACGAAGAATCGAAGAAACTCGAAGACCGAGACGAAATGTCTGACCAAAAACCCTAGAATCCGAATCGGCGAAAGGAAGGACGAAATCAGAGCACAACCTAACTAGATTCAAGCAATTCGTGATTCCCAAGTCCTAAATCCCGCAAAATCGATTCGGTAAATCTATCGAGATAAGATTTGAAGTCGGATTGCGGAAGTTACCTTCAATTCGTCGGGACGGTTGAGAAAGAAGAAGAAAAGAAGTAAAAATGAAAAAAGGAAATTCGAACGGTCTCTTAATAGAGATCGCGCGACTTCCAAGGGACAAAACTGCCCTTACGAATTTTTTATTTCTATCTTTCCCGCTCAAGGAAAAAAACATTAACGGGCTTGGGCCTCCACGCGATTTAATCGATTATCGGACCCAGCCCACGCAATTCTGCAAATAATAAATCTACCTGGCGATGACGTGGCAATATCGTTCAGGTACAGACAAAAACCGAACTCATCACGACATTCGAACCAAGAAAGCATTCTCGGTCTCGGCAAAAATCGTTCAAAGCACCATTATCTTGTGAATTAGATGACGTCAACGTACTCTTTTCCCTTCTTATGGTTTTTGTCCCAATTGGGTTTTTCCGTACCAAGGTTTTAACGAGGCGGCACGAATCTACATTCGGCACGCACTTAGGCACTAAAAATATGATTGGAATAGTGTATTTTACTAATGATTCTTAAGCTCACTCTCTATTCATGAAACTCGCCGAGATCAAACCGCATTTGACTTGCCGAGCTGGTTGGGTGACTTATTGTTAGAGGAGAAATTAGCACATTTCCCTGAGCCCGTCACCATTAGTAAAATCACAAAGCCCAATCCGATTTTAGGCCTAACTTCCTCACCAAAAAGGGAAAGCTTGAGAAGGAAGGCATAATCCACGAAGAAATGTAAATAAACCCTCATGCCGACCTGAAGAATGGAAGGAAATCAAGAACAAGAAGAAGTTTTCTATATCACGAAAGAGGAAGTTTTCCATCTCGGTCAAAGGAGAATATTCATCATTCAACCGACTCATCAACACTATATATTGAAGACCCCCCATTGGGAAAAAGGCATCCGAAATCATCTAGAATCACTAGGCTTTTGCACCCACTTTACTTTCTCTTCTTGTTCATCACTTTTATCTCGCTAGGCTTGTTAGCGAGATAATCTCTTTGTAACTTCCTTGATATTCTTTGAGTTGAATCAAGCATTCCAGTTTCCTAAACTCACATCTTTGATAGCCCGTCTTGACGAGTGCTATCTCGGATTCAACAAGATGTTGGATTATTCGGATAGATCCCTTCAAACATACCAGGACAACAAAGACATAAAATCGTCCTCAACAGCTTGGTTGATGTAATGAATATTTATCTGGAAACACAGATAATTCGAAAAATTGAGAGCCACTGTTTATTCTTTATCTGTATTATACTTCTTTGCTATAGATGTGCACAGCTACAAATTGTAAAACTACGTTTCAGTACAATACTTAACAAGGATTTCACAAAAACATGATAAAATGACTACTGCACCGAGTTATATATTAATATCATTCCAAAAGTCTACTTTGGAGCATTTTAAAAGTACACAAGTACTTAATAGGGAGAATTGGCAATTTACCCCAAATTGAAACTAATCTTGTCCCACTACACCTTTTTTGACTTTGGTCTTTTTTTGTCAAGTTTGCCCTTCGATTTATTTATAAACTCATACTAAATGTTTTTTGAAGTGAAAAAAAATGCCATAATTCCTAAAAATTATTTCAGTACTGTGTAAAATTTTTGAAATTTTTTGAAAATGCTTATGATATTTAAAAAAATATTGCAAGTTTCACTCTACAAAACTAAAATATCAAAGTAGAATACGTTTTCTGCAAGATATTCGGAGGTCTAACCTCCGTAGAACATAATATCTACAACTTATTCATACCTCTTCCAGATATAGAAGTTGATATCTACCTACTCTTATAGGCTCTGCCATTTTGTAGAATTCGCACCAAATGTATTCTACTCGATCAAGTATCTTCTACTACTCGTAGATTTTATGTTCTACGCAAAACAGTGCAATCTACAAGAGATAGTTTTCGTATTCTACGTTTTTTGTCTAATCTACATCACGCAGAAGTAGCGTTCTACTAAAACCATGTTTTCTACGATCCGTAGTACTCGTGTTTCTAGTACACAATCTAGCAAAATTAGTGTCGTCTACGGTTTTGTAGAATTCATCTTCTACGAAGATCCAGAAAATAGTGCAACTAAATATTTTTCAAATCTTTCTTTCCTTTTTTTCCTCCAACTATCCCAAAACAAACCACGACATCTCCCTCACATCACGTTCTTCCTTCCTCTCCTCTTCCTCGTTCATCCTTCCTCTCCGTCGTCCTCTTTCATCCTCCATCTTTAATATGGTGCAAGTATATGTAGCTTGCGGTTCATGGAAAAGGTGTGCAATCAATGGATGGATATTTGTTGCTGATGAGGACAGAGGAGGACGAGTAGTTACTTTGGAATCGAGTACTCGTTTTGAAGAACTAGTAGCGATTGTGTTAGAGGATTTCTCAATCGAGGGCGGATTCGACGTTGAGTTTAGCTACTTGCCACGAGGTTTGATCAATAATACTGTATCTCCACGAGTTGTGATTTCGAATGATCGTCAAGTGCAAAATTTCGTGGGTTACATCCGGAAGCAAGAGTCCAAACAGTTGTGTTTGGCAATTAAGGATCCCAATGGTAATAAGGAAGTGAACATTGACGACATTGGTGACCTTGGTAGTGTACCTCCAAGTGATGGGTTATTCCTCGTGAAAGATGAGATGAACAGAGGGAAGGGGAAAATCAATGATGATGAGGAAGTATTGTCTCAAAAGGAAATTGATTATGATAATCAATTTCGGTTGGCGTTGGTGGAAGCTGTGAAGGTTAAGCAAGAATTCAGATGCAAGAATCAGTTGATATCATGTTTCGAACTCCTGGAAATGAAGCACAACTTCGACTACAAAGTTCCCAAATCAGATAGGAAGTTTTGGACAGCTCGGTGTGCTGAAAAAGAATGCATTTGATATGTTCGAGCAGCGAATCTAAAGGGTACCACCTTGTTTGTCATCAAGAAGTATGTGGGTGAACATACTTGTGCTCCTTCAACTAAAACCAAAAATGGTAGGACAGCCTCTGCCAAAACGATTGGCAATCTCATTATGCAGAGGTATGAAGGTGTCAAAGAAGGACCTAAACCAAATGACATTATACAGCTGATGCGTACAGAGCACGGATGCAAGATTACTTATGATCTGGCATGGGAGGCACGCGAGTATGCTGTCAATTGTGTGAGAGGTATACCAGAGGAGAGTTATGGTAAAATACCAATGTACTTGCACATGGCAAAGGAAGCTAATCCGGGTACTCATACTGCTTATAAAACTGATCCTGATGGTAGTTTCAGATACATGTTCATTGCTTATGGTCAGTCAATTAGAGGCTTCCACAAAGTGATGCGGCAGGTCATCGTTGTTGATGGGACATTCTTGAAGAATAAATACAGGGGAACACTACTAGTTGCTACAGCTTTAGATGGTAACTCTAATTTGTATCCATTAGCATTTGGTGTGGTTGATTCAGAGAATGATAACTCATGGGAATGGTTTCTGAGGCAGCTGCATGTTGTTATCGAGGATGACTACACCTTGGCTTTTATCTCAGACAGAAGTCCATCCATTGCATCAGCAATACGTATTGTCTACCAACGAGCAAGCCATGGAATCTGCATCCACCATTTGCTGAACAATGTCATCTCCCATCTCCATGGAAAAGGTGTGGCTGGTATGGTTGCTAATGCTTCTAAGGCATACAGAATTGCTGATTTCCAGAGGATAATGACTGATGTGTGTAAGAACAGACCTGATGTTGCAAGATATCTAGTGAAAGCTGATGTGAAAAAGTGGGCTCGTTGCCTTTTTGTTGGATACAGGTACGACATTAGGACAACTAACCCAGCTGAGTCCTTAAATAATGCATTGAGATCACCTAGGGAGTTCCCAGTAATCCCTCTACTGGACAGCATCAGAGAAATGTTGACAAGATGGTTCTATGAGCGCAGGACATTGAGCTCAAAGCATAACCACCCTCTAACCAAGGCTGCTGAGATGAAGATTACCAGAAGAATTGAAAAGGGTAAACAGTTTACAATTCAGCAGATTGATGCAAACAGATTTGTGGTTGGCGGTGACATCTACCAATGTGTGGTTGATTTGGCGAAACGAACATGTACTTGTGCCAAGTACGATCTGCAGAAACTTCCCTGTAGGCATGCAATCAGAGCTATTTTCTTGATAGGAAAGCAATCACATGAATACAGTGATGATGTGTTCAAAACTGAGTTCTGGAGAGTAGGGTATGAGGAAGCTATTAACCCAATGGGTGTTCCTGAGGATGCATGGTGTGTTACAGAAGATCTTGAAGACGAACTTGTTACTTGTCCTGAGTCACGCCGAGCTGCCGGCAGAAGAAGAAAACGACGATTTGAAACAGTTGAGGACAAGATAAGGTCGCACAAAAAGGTTAAAAAGATACACAAGTGCTTTCGATGTGATAAGCCCGGCCACAACAGAGCAACCTGTGATATGCCTATATAGCTGAACTTAATGTATGTTACATGTTCACCTTTGTCATTACGCCTTCTTGTAGGAATTGTTGTGATTTTTGTATATTTTGCTGATTTTATAGGTGGCTGAAGCAGAGTATGGGGAACATGGAGCTAAGGATATGAGGAGAATTGTGTTGGAGTGGTGCCTCGGATATTGGTTTGCTTTTGTTCTGTTTCTGGGAAGTTTATTGTTTTGGTTTGCAAATGACAAAGATGTTTATGCCAACGATATGGTCTTTGATATTGTTCTGATTTTGGTGTTATTTTGTTTCACATTTCAGCTTTTTAATGTCAAGGATATGGTCTTTCTTTGTTTCATCAATGGATATGTTCTTTGTTGCTTACTGTTTGTGCTCTCTGTTTTCTTAAACAAGCTTTAACAAAATGCAACACCATTACCATAAGAATTACTTGTTCACAGTACCAAATACAGCAACAGTGAATCAAATCCAGAACAAAAAGAAAACCATCAAATACATTAGCAACTCCATGTGGACTCAAACTACTGTGAAAAAGAAGAACAAAACCACTCCCAAACCACACACAATCACGTTTCTGCAACAAATCATGTTCGATTTGTAAGAACATAATCTCGAATTGCTTACCCGAACTGGCTGAAGAAGACATCTAAGAATCTTCGAGTTTCGTTTACGATTTTTGCCCAAATCGTCGAGTTCGTCGCTTGAATTAGGTTTTGGAGAAGATAAAGGAAACGACGCCGTATCTGTGTTGAAGGATTAAAAACCACGTCGTTTTTAATTTGATAAGGAGAAAATGATGTTGTTTTTAGCCTCAGTCATTTTTAATTTGATAAGGAGAAAACGATGTCGTTTTTTTTTAGCCTCATTTACAATCAAACGATGGTCATGCCCTCTCAACCCTGCTTCGTATCAACCCTCAAACGATGGTAAACAAACATCAAAATACAAGAACACATATTAACAACCAAACGTGAATGCTAGTAAAAATAAAATTTGACAATGTAAACAACCAAATGGTCCCATAAACAAATCATCAAAGTGTTTCCATGTGTCAATGTCAACAATCCTAAAACAAATGCTACTTGAAACCGAAAATTCAGCAGCTTCTCATCACAATCAGCTGATGTCCACAACTTCAGTTGGAGCAAACTCCGGTCGTACATACCTAGTCATCCGGTCTAGCAAAACCAGATCCTTTGCCGCGTCATGAAGATCACACGCTATCTTCTGCCTAGCTTGTTTAATGTTTCCATCATGCAACAATGCCATGTCAAGTCCTAGGACATGGCACTCGATGAACTTCACCGCATACACCCCACATTCAGAATGATTTTTGTTAATCCCCTTTCTCATGGGCACATACCTCGTCGAATATGGTGCAATTGACAGGAGTTTCTTCCTAGCAGCTGGCTGCACTTCCTTGAAGATACGAGGCACCATGTTGGCGAATGCGTCGACCTCTCTGTACCGTTTTAGACCGTTACTGTCGAAAACGTCAATGGACCTGTCCGTGAAGTTGATGCACAGTGATATCCAATGGTTGCCTCCTACACAGACTGGAGTGTAGATACGATCAACGTCAACTCCCCAAACCTTGTTTGTGTTTCCGTGAGCCGGCAAAATGCCTTTACCAAAAGCCATTAGGTACTCGCTCACTTCCCACTAAAGAGAACTACTCAAAAGACATGAGAAATTCGAAATAATGAGAAATAAGATGATGGTAGTGATTCAATGAGATTAAGAAGAAAGATTCAAAGAAGAAGTACTTTCTAAATCATTAAAATCAAGCCAAGATCTTACAAAAAAAATAAAATAAACCAAAGGAGGCAAAAAGAGAGGATTTTAATCAAGGAAAAGATCCAAGATGCCTAGTAAAATTATGTCTTCAGCTATTTTTTTTTTTTTTGTGCAAATACTTGGCTTTCATTAAGAAGGTTTAAACCGGTTCAATACAGATTTCGTTGAGTGCCTGTTTTGCCAATACATCGGCTTGACGGTTCTCCTCCCTTGGTACAAAGACAAACAAAAAAAATTCAAAAGCTAGTGATAGAATCAGGATATCGTGTAGAATCCCATCGAGTTCTTTGTTGAAGTTCTCCTTGTTGATTGCCTTGATCAGCTGCTGTGAATCTGAGGCGACTATGAGTTTATTGTATCCAAGATCTCGTGCTTTTGCAAGCGCCGTGAGGATTGCTATTCCCTCCGCCATGAGTGGCGATTTGATGTGTCTCCGTGAAGCTGTGCCTTGATGCAAGATCTCCTCTGGCTGGTCCCTGGTTCTGTTGTACAAGATCCAGCCGAAACCCACAGATATAAAGTCTCCTCGCCAGGCTGCGTCCGTCTTGCATATGGTCCAGTTTTGGCCTGGGATCTGTCGGATGGTTTGGAATCGCGTCCCTCCGGATGTTACTTGTCTGCTCTGCTTGTGCTGTGCCTGTTTTCGCCTGTTTCCTCAGCGAATATGAGCTGATTTCGGGTTACCCATATTGTCCACACGATCCAGGGGAATATGGGTCCCTCTCCAACACCTGTGGGAGGTAGGCAAGTTAAATGTGGTGCCAATTTGATTCCTGCTCTTATGTTATCTATCCTCATTGGCTCAATCTGTTCTTTGCATGGCATCTTCCTCCATATTTGGGCTGCAAAATTGCAATGGAAGAGCAAATGGGATGTGGTTTCTTCTCCTCCGCAGTGTGGGCATCGTACCATTGTGTTGATGTTCCTTGCTTTCAAGTTTTCATCCACCGGTAATGCTCCATTCATTGCCTTCCAGCCTTCCACCGGTAATGCTCCATTCATCATACCGTTAAAGTTCTTTGTAGCTTGTTCGTGGTCCTCGTTTGGTTCTTCAGGGGTTTGTTTCAGGGCCTCATAGTAGCCAGATTTCGCCGTGTACTCTCCATTCTCCGTTGGGAGCCAAAACTTAGTGTCTTGTGCCCCCAATTTGCTTGGTTGTATCTCCAGAATTGCTGCTTCAGCATGCCGCACAAATGTTTGGATTTTTCCTCTATCCCTGTCTTTGTGTGTGGTGATATGTATAACGCCCGTGGGCCTCACCCCTGTATGACGGCCGGTCCGTTATTTTTGAGAGGCTCTAATGACTTGTTTACTATCCCTGCAATCAACACCCGACCTTTCCCCGTGTTTTGGCTTCACTCACACGGTTTCGGAAACCACTTCCCAGAAGGTCACCCATCCTTCAACTACTCCAGCCCAAGCACGCTTAACTCTGGAGTTACTTATAGACCTTTGACCGAAAAGGTAAGTGCACTTTGTTGACATAGGTAGCCAAATCAATTCTCTTAAACCTCTCCTCATTTATCACAAACCGGGATGTTACAACTCACCCCCACTCACTGTTCCAACGTCCTCGTTGCGCACCTGAATCGTCACCCTCTGACAGTGTAAGTCAAGGCCACTTCAACTTGACTCCACACTCTCGTCTAGGTTTAGCTCTGATACCAAATTATAACGTCCCGACCGCCCCTCCCAGTGAATCACCCACGCCCTCTCTCTGGGCCCGTAGGCCCATCTCGACCCGTGGGCCTCACCCCTGTCTTACGGCCGGTCCGTTATTTTTTGAGAGGCTCTAATGACTTGTTTATTATCCCTGCAATCAACACCCGACTTTTCCCCATGTTTTGGCTTCATTCACACGGTTTCGGAAACCACTTCCCGGAAGGTCACCCATCCTTCAACTACTCCAGCCCAAGTTCGCTTAACTCTGGAGTTAATTTAATTACACCAATTAACCAGAATTAAAACAATTTAAACCAAGATAAACCAATTAAATCAATTAATTCAATTAAACCAGATTAAACCACACAAACACACAATTCATCACATAAACAACCAAAATATCATGAAATAACAATTAAACACATAAACTCATCAAGAACAATCACAAACCAAATCTAATCTAGCAAATCACGGACCCACAGTCATGCACTCACCTTGACAATGGATTGAAACTGAAGGAAAGAAACAATGAACAGTGCGAATCCGACGATGAACAGTACCCGATGAACAGTACCCAATGAACAGTACCGATGAACAGTACCGATGAACAGTACTAGATGAACTCGAAAATCTCTCCAACTCAAATTTCTCCTTTTCTCCTCTGCACTTTCACTCGAAAATTCCAAAGAGGAGCTCCTCACTTTTGATTTAAACTAGGGCTTTCTCCACTAAACCGGCCCAAACCAAATCACTTAAATTGAACCGACGAAATTCCCAATTTTTGGTTTATGGATGTTACAACTCTCCCCCACTAAACTGGATTCGACCTCGAATCCCAACACAAAACGTCACAAAGACCGCAAACCCGACCTCGCAAGGCCACAACACTGGAGATCCTCACCGATCTAATCTTATGTTAACGCCCGTCTCTAGACATCTTTACTCTTAACTCATCACCTCAAACCACTTGTATTGGGGCCACTACACCCAAACAAGTCTGCACCTACCCAAACTGGGGCCACTACACCCAGGGGCTTGCCAACCGCTGCTTATACTGGGGCCACTACACCCAAATAAGTCAGCCACGACTTATACTGAGGCCACTACACTCAGCTAAGTCACTCATACTGAGGCCACTACACTCAGATGAGTCTGCCAGAGAACCACTGTCTCCAAAACCGTAATGAGTTATTCAGGATCGCAATCCTTAGAGTAAAAATTCCAAGACATCTATAACAATAGAATTAGAACTGTCTCACGACCGACTGGTCAAACACTTGTAACATCCGAAATACCACTTAAACAACACAAGGCAAAATGAGGAAAAACTGCATCTCATAAATCTCAAAAATGTATATCGTTACAACCAAAACGAAAATACAATAACACCAAAGCCAAAACAACAACTGAGGCTACAAAGATGAAATAAGCTCACTCCTCGACCTGCTTGTCGAACCACTTCCTGAACTTCAACTTCATCTTTGCCTCTGGCTCCCAAGTCTCCTCTGTAGAACCACTGCAATCCCACAAAATCCTCAGTAAGGGAATCCTCTTGTTCCTCAGAACCTTTTCCCTCCTCTCTAAAATCCTCACAGGCACTGCCGGCACTGTCAAATCTGGCCTAAGATCCTCTGGAATCCTAGCCACCAACTCCTCTGTAGGGTGAAGACACTTCCTCAGCATCGACACATGAAAAACCTTGTGAAAGGCTCTCATAATCTCAGGCAACTCCAGCCTGTACGCCAATGGCCCAACTCGTTCCACTACTGGAAACGGCCCCATAAAACGCGGACTCAGCTTGTTCTCTGCTATGGATCTGTTAGGACCCCTCAACATAGCCATCTTGAGATAAACTCTATCTCCCACCTGAAACTCAAGCTCTCGTCTGCGTCTATCTGCATAACTCTTATGCGTCTGATGTACTTGCATTTTGCATAGTTTTA